TTGAAGAAACCTCACAGTAGAAAATAACGCAACAGTTTCTGCAGAGGGATCATTTTCCTTGTGATCCTGTTGTTCAGTATTAAAAAAAATCTAGAATCGAGATGTTGTAGGACATTTTTTAGGGCTTTCTTTCCCTTTATTTTTGTATTTGTAATTGTGAATATTTTTGACATCTATAAAATTACCTTTCAATGGTGAACAGCTTAAAAAAAAGGGGAGGGGGAAGGGGCAGAGGTTGTGTTTGTTTTAATGATCGCTTTTCTTTCATTTGGTCTCTGATGTTTGTGACATTTTCTGTTGGTTGTTTTCAGGTCTTGTTTTTAGGTTGGTGGTTTTGGGTTTTTTTGGGAGTTGCGGGGTTTGGTTTTTTTTGGATTGTCAGTTATTCCATAAGCCAGTATCTTGGAATCTGCTTGGTATTTCTGCTGCACAGCTGGTTGCTTACTTTATTGCGCCTCAGTGGTTTAGTGCAATAATAGTTTTCTTCTCCCTTTCCCCCCGAAGTGGGCGGCTGGTTGATTTCCAACCCAGACACGATGTGTGCACCAGGAAGCTCTAATTATCAGTACACCGGGGCTTTGCCTCTGCCAGCCCCACACCCCCCCCACAGCTGCGAGCGATACTCAGCACTGCGAGGGCATCGGGCTGCTCCGTACCCACCTTCCTATGTGCAGAGGAATCATTCACCTCCAGGTACAACCGTAATGCTGCTTTGCTTCCAGGGAACAGACCCTCTCTGCCCGCCCGACCTTGCTGTAGGTTAGCATAAGCATTAAAACAAGGGTAGGAAAGAGCGTAATGAGCCTCTGTAACTATCTGCACTGAACGCTGCGTGCAGAGAGTATGGTCAAGGCAGCAAAACAAGAGGTACAAAGAGCTGGGTGCACTCTAACTGTTAATTATAAACGAAAGAGAACGATCTTGCTTAAGGTACAGCTCCCAGTTACACACAAAGAGCATTGCCAGCCTTCTTTCAGTGTCATGCCGTGAAGCAGTTCCACTCTCAAGTCGAAGCAGCCCTTAAGAACATGGTAGGAGCTGACTTGAGGACGTTTTGGTATTGGCCAGAATGTCTTTTGAGTCCCTTTCACTCTCTAGATATGGGTGCAGAGTTCCAGAAATTGATTCTACTTGATTAGAGGAAATTGGCCAGAAACAAGAGTAAAGGATGAAGTAATCTGTTCGCGAATTATAATTTAGCAATGCATCCCGTTTAACAGAAATATTTAAGTTCAAGTTATAAGGAAGTCTGTATCAAAATATTGCCAGTCACACGACAGTTGTCATTAATGAAAAGAGTGTTAGTCAGACTTGCAAAAATGCATATCCGATGTCTATCGTGCTGTACCTTCTCCTATATTGCACCTGGAATTACAATGGCACCTTGCCTTTTTTTTTTTTCCCTCCTTTTCCCCCTTCCCAAGTTAATCTGTTGGACAGCTCCAGCAATAATCTTCAGGTATTCTCAGGGCACGATGGCTGGACTTTGCCATCCTCTCCACATGCTAATTTGCTCTCAGTGCCACACACAAAAGGAGCTGCCAGCCCTGGATCCAGGTGAGGTCACGGGAAAACTGCTGGTATTGGGAGCAGTGAGGCTTGCAGGATTTACACTTTGTTCCAAGCTTTAATCGGCGTCCAGGATTTGAAACATGTCCTGAGTGCCCAACTCCAGATTCCTGGGCAGATCTTTCTGACAGGCTAATTATCTCCTGCTCTGAAATCAATGGGAGCTTAGTTTTTCCCCAGCACTGCTGAAAACCAGGATCTTGGAACAGCCACTGAGAACTCTGGGATCTACAATCTGTGAGCGTTTTAAAGCCAAATTATTTTTCGCTATATATTCCTCACTGTTCTCCTGCGTGAAATGAGGATCCTACTCCCAGGCAGGGATGTAACAATCTAATTCATCTTCTATTATAAAAACATTGCTAATAGGGGAGTAACAGTTCTAGGAATGGCTGGAATTTAGACCTAGAGAGTCAATTAATTATCAAGTATTTCCCCTTCTTTTCCCAAAATAAATGCATGTTTCTTCTCTGATTTAGGTGCTAGGAAAATCAGCTGTAATTCTTTAAAATTCATAAGCATTCACGAAAAAGATCTTTAAATCTTGAGACCTCCCATGTAATTGTGCATTTCTCTCCATGCCCCTCTCCGAGGTCACCGGGTCCGATGGTCGCTGGTGGTTTTTCACTGATGCAGATCTGCAAGGCTGATCTCGTTTAGTAACTCAATGCGGACAGTTGCCTCGTAGCAGATAACGCACTTGACTTTACGGTGGTACGTCTTGTGCAGGGGAAAACGCTTTTAAATAAGTCATTCCATTTGTACTCCATTTTTTTCCAGCCACTACCCTTGCCTGTGGACAGTGAGCAACAGTGCTGTGAACGTTGCCAACGCGGGAAGCGAGGTGAACAGCAGCCCTTCAAGTGTGTTCCTAAGGGGTAACGTCCCCTTACCCACTGCATCATCAGTCCAAATCCCTCTGCAGGGAACGGTGTCTGGCAGCATGGAAGCACAAGGGGAAACTGCTCTAGCCCGACTAGCCGACCCCACGTGGACATCCTCACACTCCTTTTAACAGACGGGGAGCTCAGCCAAACAAGACTGACGCAAACGGCAAACGGTCCCGTAGAATTGCAGCTCAGAGCAGGGATGTGTATGCAGCGTGCCGATTCCGTCAAACATAACTTTCCATAATGCACCTCTTGTGTGCCAGAGAGGCCAAAATATGAAACACAAAGGCTGGAGGTGTTACGGGAACCGGCTTATTACTGTAGCCTTGATGCGTCATTCAGGATGATGCCCAGAAAGGATCCTTATAGTTAGTTTTGCTCCTGTATCACGTAACAAAATGGTCAGAGACATGGGACTGAGTGAAGCGGATACGGCAGCTGGATACTCGCCTGTCAGTTCAGAAGTCCCTTCTGTAACGAACGGCCGAGTCCAGGGGAAACTGGGAGCAGTTCACAACTGGTAATTTGAAGGGACAGTGCTGCTTTAAAAACTTTCTGAATCTGTCCCGTGAAGGTTTTCACAGGTCCTGAAATTAAACCCTTCAGGACACCCTAATACCACCTGCATATAGTCTTCTCTGTCCCCTTCCCATCTCCAGCTCCTACTTGCTGTTTGTGTGCTCTAGGGATAATGGGGAAGCGGCTGCATTGTAGCAGCAGGGTGAAGGGCCTCTAGTTTAGCGTTTAGAGTCTGATGTGGTGGTCTTTGAAATGAAAGTTCCAATGTTTTCTTTATGTGCTATTTTTGAAAGGCTGGACGGAAAAGAATTCTAGAAAAAGATGCAGCTTGGTGTTTCCACTTTGCTTCAGGTATAGAGTACAAATAAAATATTGATAAATGGTGTATCATTTCCTCAGTGCCTTTCCAAGGTGTGAACACACATACAGTCTCTTCCACCTAACAGCCTCTGAGCAATTTAAAGCAGCTCTGCCAGGAGCAAGCCAATGGGACAGGAATTTTGTTTTCCTTGGACAGTGACCAGCTGTATGCTCTCGGGCATGGTATTCCATGTCTTTCTACCTGTTTCCCCTCTCACCTTTTGTCTGTCAGCTTCTTTTTTCAGGCTTCAGCTTTTCTTGTCCCGTGTGAGTGTACAGCATCTCGCATAGCGGAGGCCTGATCCCACCTGGGATTTCTAACCACTACTGTGATGCAGCCAATAACAGTTGTCCCCCAGTCTTCCTCCTCCTCTCGTGCTGCCTCAGGCAAGCCCCACCAACTGCTCAGAGTGCTGCCATTTGGTCTCTGGTAGGGGTAAAGAAAGAACTGCAAGCTAATTCATGTAAATGCATCTCTGTATAATGAAAGGCCCATCATCAGTTCGGTCGTTTACAGTCATGAGCATCGGTAGGGGCTGGATAGATAGCCCTCGAAGAGGAAATCCTCAGCACAGGTTTAGAAGAGGATTCTCCAAAGCTCCTGCAAGCTTGTGCCTCTACCGAGGTGTTTCTGCTCCAGCCAGGTTTGGCAACATTCCCTTTGGAAACGCTCAAGCATTGCATACAGGCTCTGGGAGCAGCATTTGATTTTGGGTAGACAATAGGGGCAGCAGCAAGAACATTTTCATTCAGGCCATCAAATGTGCATCTGTCTGGTGAACTTGGCAAGCTCCTGCTTCATATTCTATTACCGCAGCCCTGAACCATCCCCTCAGGTGCTCTCAGTGTCATACTTCTTGATGACTTCCTCATCTGGCCTTTCAGATTTGCTGCAGGCAAGACCGCAAGCCAGGATGCACTCAGTAGCACTGTTAGTTTTACTGACTTGTGCTGCTATCCTCTAAAAGCAAAGTAATGAAGGTTGTTTTGGATGTGCATTTTTATTAACGGAGTAAAATCTGCCTGTAAATTAATAGAGTAAAATGTGACTGTAAATCTGCCTTTGCACATTCTGTCAAAAGCTTAGTGATGAGTTTCTCAATGTTGTAATTCTCTACCTTGCAGCCAGAAATACATGTTTCTCTCCAGAACAGCTCTGCTTTACAGATGAGGTTTATTAACTAACTTATGCTACCCTCTTCTGGCAGTTCACACACCACACACTGAGCCTCTATATAAAGGTGGCTGTAGATGCTGAGAGAAGGCCAAGTGGTGACTTCTGTCTGTTCCAGGACTTGCTAAGCTTCCTTCATGTCTAATGACTTGGGTCATTTCTTCAGTTTTCTCATATACCTTATTACAGTAACAGAAAAGTGATTATAAGGTGTTACACAAACTGCATTTTTATTTCACAAATACACAATCTAGGAGAAAATCCAATTAGTTTTCCGGATAGTCTCATAGCATTGAAAAGATAAAAAAAAGGATCAAAACAAGCAGGCAAAGTCATTTTTTCTTTCTTATCACTGTAAGAGCAGCCATGACTCATGTCACAGGAGGCAAAAAGTTCAGAGCTCTCAGACACAAGCTAAGTTTTTTGTCATTGCAGACAATCTGGGTTAGCCAAAGCCTGAGAAATGACATGGAGGGATAAAAACACCCCAGGCTTGCTCATGACCTTGCCATGTTGCTACTTTGGCAAAGGCTTTGAGAATGGGGAGCTGGCTCGGACAGATCATTTCTAAGGAGCAGTGGGAGCACTGGAGAAGGCTTTTGCCACTTGTTCCCAAGAAAAGCTGCTGGTTTAAATCTGCAGATCTCTCTTCCCAGCACAGTGGAGTTCCCCACAGAGCAGTAACAAGCCAGGATGCCGGCTGCCCCATTCTCCCGTGGGATTCAGATTCCCTTAAACCGCATATTAACTGTTCCTGTTAAACCGTTGTTGTGGATCTGGTTTTGCACCTATAGTGCCATTGTTCCCAAACAGATTTCTGCTTGCCATTGAAAAACATACAGTAGCAATTTCTGACTAGATACTTCACTGGTTGCGCTAAGGGGTAACTGAAATTGCAGCAAAAGAAAGTGAACACCACCACCACACTCCCATTTTTATCTATTTTGACAGAGTCACTTCTTGATTTTGTGGAAGGGAAATACACTGAGAGCCTGGAAGAGCTCTTTTGAGGTCTCTAGGGTAAACATGGTACCTGGTGTTAATGACAGTTCCTGTTTTTTAACTTCACTAGATCAGGGAGCCCCTTGGCCCCTGAAACGCCATAGGGTTTGTCCTGGCTGAGGGGCTGCACCCCTCAGGCCTCTCACTGGGACAGCCGGAGGGCAAGGACTTGGGCACGTCTCCATACAAATCTTCATGTAATTAGAGGTAGGAACCATTTGGTCTGCCACAGCTGCCCTGGAACCCTTCTGAGGGCTTCAGCTGGCGCTGAACCGGGGCCTCTCGGCTTTTGCGCGCCCTC